CTGGCGTTTCCGTGGGGGGGAGGGGCCAGAAGTGAACAGATCACACACGCGAGAAACAAGACCAGGTCCCAGCGGGGCGCGTGGCCTCGCCCAGCGGCGCAGACCTTGCGGCTGGGGATGGACAGGACACGTGGCCGGGCTTTCTGCTCCCCAAGCCCGCCCCCCTCCTCCCACCGCCTCACAGGGCCCTTCCCCCTGGGCCTCGGACTGAAATGTACTTTCTTTTCTTCTATTTTTCTTTTCCTTTTTTTAAAAAAAACCCTTAATGATTTCCAGAGAGAGTGAGAGGAAGGGAGGAGAGGGGTGATGGTGGGGAAGAGAGAGAGGAGAGAGAAACCTCCATGTGAGATGCACCCGGACAGGAGGTGGGGATGGAACCTGAAGCCCAGGTACCCACCTGTGACTGGGAATCGAACTCATGACCCTTCAGTCCAGGGGCTGACACGCCGACCAGTGAGCAACACTGGCCAGGGCATTAAGAGCAATTCCTGTCCAGGAGCGAATGCTCATCTCCCATGCGATGGAACCTGTTCCACCCCGAGGCCAAGGCTGCAGCCTGGCACCCAGGACCCCATAACCCCGTGAGGCCGTGACCTCCCCCACCTGCCCCTCCCAGCACGTCCCTCCGCCGCCCGTCCGGCCCCCTCGGAGCTGGGGAGCCGCGTGGGGCGGGGCGGACGCTGCCCCCGCGGGCCAGCCTAGCCCAGACGCTACTCTGAGCCCCTCCGCAGCTCGTGTGGAAGCCCCGGGAGGTGGCTGAGGACTCACGGAGCGCCGGTCTGAGCGGCGCAGCACGCAGGGCGCAGGAGGGTGTGGGGTCCAGAGGAAAACAGCTGCCAAAGGTAGCTCTTCCACACCTTCCCGCTTCAGGGAAAAGGGGCGATCAGGTGCGCACAGCCAGGCCCCGCCCCGCAGCCGACCTTAAGTCACGCGTTCAGATGGCCAGACAGTGCACAGCGGCCGTCCTGCCGTAACTTCATGCCCACGTCGGGGGCGCAGCTGTGCGCTGGGAGAAGCCCTTGTTCCCTCATGTTCTAATTAAAAAGAGTCTAAAATGACTAAGAAGCGGAATTCACACAGACATGTAAACATAATAATAAATACTAGAAACCCTTCAGAGGTAAAGTCACAGCTCTCTCTTCATACAGTTACTGGCATGTGCAGGAAAACAGCAGATAATGAAAGTCATACTCCAACCTCTGCGCTAAGGGTTACGGTCTCTCCTAGTTCACAAATCTCAAAGTAATGTGTCCAAAACATTGAAACTGGTTACAACGTAAAGTTCTATGGTCTCATTTAAAAGTTTTCCATGGAATCACTGACTTTTAAGGCCTTGCGTTTCTTTCCTAAGAGACATCCCGCCCCCCCCCCGCCCCCACTCCCGCAGCTGAGCGAGTCCCTTCCA